AATTTCTTTCCTTTCTCCAAAATCTTCTTTTCTCACCGTCCTGCAGGTGGGCTCCCCAGAAACCTTGGTGCCCCATGGAGAGTTTCTCCAGACAGAACCGCTGGTCTCCCCGAGTGGAGCAGTGGAGTGGCCTCTGAGCCGTTGGTTGGGGGACACATCTTCCTTTTCTCTTGGGAAGACTCTTTCTCACCACTCCTTATAGCCACTGCCCCACAGATCCCTAACTCCGAGATACTTTCTGGCATGTTTCCTCAAAATCTTCCTACTATAGCACAGCCTGGCTGAGGTTTCTGATGACTACCACTGGCCAGAGGGTAATTTTGCATGTACAAATGGACCTTACATTTGCTGGCCTTACATCAACACACCAGAATGTCATCTAAAGTCTGTCCTTCATTCAGGCCTCTCTCTCTCCCTGCCCCAGCCAGGATCTCCGCTCATCCTCCTCTGCCTCTCGGGTTCTCCTCCACAAAACCCTCCTGGCAGTCTCCCAGACCTGGCCCCCTCCAAAAACCACCGTCTCTCCTAATGTATGCTGCTTTCCAAAGTCAGCTACTAAAATTTACTACAGGAAAGGGTTGTTTCCAAATCCCGCTGGCAGAGGACAGCAGTGGCCTGGAGTGACCTTCTTAGCAAAACCTGTCCCAACCAGACTCCGGGCTGGCTGGGATCAGCTCCTATCTTTTGTGACCTCTGCCTCCTGCTCTGATACCTTCCCTGCCAAGCCTTCCCGATTCTTCTTCTTTCTGCTGCCCACTCCTTCGCCTGGTGCCCAGCCCAAACCGGGATCCACCATTCCCTCCATACGGTTGTCTGGCTCAGAGCCTGACTCCAGCGCTGTTGCGTGGAAAGCTCACCTCCGCCTGCCCCCACCCTACCCCACCCCCACCCCCACCCTGCATATATCCTGTGTGGGAAGTCAAAGTTTGCACATTTCTGTCCTCTAAGTAAAGGCCTACGTTGTCATTAGTCCCTGGTCCCTGGTCTGTCATTCCGTCTCATTAACCTTCCTGTTAACTTTCTGCAAAGGGCTTTTCCCAACTATCGAGTGTATGCTCTGCACGCAGTCACCTTTCTGCCTTTCTCTCTTTCCATCTAGGAGGCCTGTTTGAGTACGTATCTGCAGCCAACTACTTGGGGGAGATCATGGAGTGGTGTGGCTTTGCGCTGGCCAGCTGGTCCCTCCAGGCCACAGTGTTCGCTGTGTTCACATTCAGCACGTTGTTCACCAGGGCGAGGCAGCATCACCAGTAAGTTTTAAAAAACACGTCTTTGCCTTCTCAGTTTGCTCTCGGACGTCAGCATAACCGTTTCCAGGCTAGACTTTCATAATGCCGATCCCGCTGCTTCAAGGACAGGGCCGAAGGAGCAGGCCCTGCCGCTTTGGGGGTCCCCCCTTGTGCTGGCAGGTCGGTGTCTTCACGTGAAGAGGGAGTGACAGAGGTCGATCGGAACCAGGGATTGTGCCTTTGTCACTGTTCTGTCGCAACACTTAGGAAAAGAAAGTGTTTCACTGGGAACTGGCGTACAGTTTCGGAGGCTTAGACCATGATCATACTGGTTGAGAGTATGAGGCATGCAGGCAGCCGCAGGAGAAGCAGCGGAGAGCCACATCCTGAGCAGTAGTGGAGGGGTGGGGGTGGGGTGGCTGGACTTGGCATGGGCTCTTGAAACCTCAAAGCCCACCCCCACTTCCTCTAACAAGGACACACCTCCTAATCCTTTCAAACACTGCTGTTCCCTGGTGACTGAGCATTCAGGTATTTGAGCCTATGGGACGAAATCATTCTTATTCAAAATAACCACCACAACCTGAAAACCCCCAGAGCTGCTGAGAAAGACAGAGAGGTATAAAGGAACAAGGGCAGGGGACAAAGGTTTATAGAAAAGGCTTACAATATCAAGTGGCAAAAAAAAAAAAAAAAAAAAAAAAGAGGGAACTGCTCACTGGGCCCATGCCTTTAATCCCAGCACTCTGGAGGCAGAGACAGGCAGATCTCTGTGAGTTCGAGGCCACCCTTTTCTACAGAGCAAGATCCAGGATGGGCACCAAAACTACATGGAGAAACCCTGTCTCAAAAAAAACAAAAACAAAAACAAAAAAAAAAAAGGGAACTGCTCGTTGTCTATGGGGTTGCCAGGTCCATTGACCTAGCTGCAGAGAGGAAAACTAGCAGCTTTGTCCTGCTGGGATGGGAGAAACCTGGGTTGTAAGCCTGTTAAATGGATTCTGGCTGAGTATTTTATAGGGCTTTCCCTTTCTCCTAGTGATAGTTCAGATACCTGCCTCCCCCTCCCCCTCACGCCTTCCTCCGTCTCACCTCACAGTGTGTTCTGGGGACAAGTAGTCATGTTCACTTTCCTAGTCTACTTACGTCCCTCTGACTCTCCTGCATTGCCCCACCTCAGAGATCCACACCTACTCCTGCCAGGGCAATGACTGCTGTAGCAGCTTCGTGCTAAGAAGGGGCAGAGTCTACCCGTGGTGCAGGTCTAAAAGAAAGAACTCTTACAGGTGACTCCTGGGGCTGGTCTTTGTGACGTTGATAAAATTCTGGCAGGCAGTGTGTCTTGGGCTCTTTCTGCAGAACCATCTCTAGAAGCCAAGGGCCAGATGGAGTGGAGAGAAGACTGTTGGAGACCACTTTAGTATCACCCAGAGTAGGCCAGCAGTTACCCAAAATGTCCCCACATCCAAGGCTGGTCTCGAGAGTGATGAACCCCAGATCTACTTTCAAGCATGCTGGTAGCTTTAGGAGTGGCTAGAACCACAGGGAGAAATGCCTCGGCGAGAGAGGAGAAGTTTAACCACTATTCAGTTGTTAGGTTAAAATAGTAGTGGACCTGTCTCTCAATGTTGAATTGAGCCCAGTTGTCCAGGGAGTATGATCCCCTAAAACTCCAAAGAAAGCATGCCAGTCACAGCCATACCCCAAGCTGTCCCTTCCTGCTGGGTGTTTAGGATCAAACCTGTGGCCAGAACCAGCCTCTTCTACCTTTTCGTATCAAGGCCACTTAAGGGTCTGGTTCTTGAGGATGACTTGGCTTCAGAGGAGCCTCTATCCCCTTTTCCTTTTATCGCTTATTCCATCTATATGAAATCAAAGGCCCTCCTTCGCTGTGGCTTCACTCGGAAGCATGGAGGGGATGTCTCCTCTGGGGTGATCCTCCTCTTTGTAGACCCGACACTGGTTAGAGCTTCCTGGGTGGGGTCTCCAGGTAACTCCCCACAGTTTCAGGATGTTCTGAGAGGTGCCTCATGGTCCCCGGGACCCACTTGACCTTGGAGGATGAGGGGAGAAATAGCGCCCTTTCAGTCTCAGCGCGGTTGTTGAACTCCCGGAAGATCAATAACCAGTTTGATATTCCCAGCTACTGTGTAACATTAGATAAAACCTGGGCACTTTAGATAAAACCAAACACTTCAATAAATTTTGATTTCTTGAGCCAGGCCTTGTCATTGTTATGAAGTGTGGACTCCATTGATTTGAGCAGAGGTTTGACGTCAGTGTGGTGAACTTTGACCTTTTGCATGCATATTGTGCCATCCTAGTAGGTGACTAGTGCTGTGATAAAACACCGTGACCACAGCAGCTTGGCAAGGAACTCTTGGAACCAGTTTGCTTGCCTAAAGTGAGCTGGGGGCGAGGAGATGGAGAGATCTTGGGTCAGAGTCACCTCTTCACGGCTTGAGTTCCCTTGTCCACCTGAACGGCGATGTCCTCCAGTCTGTGAGCAGGGAGCAGATAGCCCCATCTAGTCTGCCCCCAGGAGGAGTCATCCACAGGATTTCCACACCTCACCCATGGCTCAGTGCTCTGTCATCCCCCAGTTTCCTCCTTTAGTAAACCGCGCCTGCTCTTGGGCTGAGCCAACAGCCACATTTGCTGCGTCTGTTCAGCAGCTGCTCCATTCCACCTCACCGAGGTTCACAAAGCCAGACAGAGCCAGGTTCAGGAGGAGGCAGAGAGACGCCCACTCATTAGCCCGTTCACCCACCAGATGAGCTAGGGAACCAAGATCTAGCTGCCTCATTTTGCGACCCATCCACCTACCAACTCTGAAACAATCCTTGTCATCCTAATTCCAAGAGGGAAGAACCAGGGCGCAGTTACAACCAGATCACAGCAAAACAAAAGCCCAACAGTATACATAGCTCATTACCCAGTATCTGGGATTCACTCACAATCTCCTGGGCTCTAAAGGGCTCAGACAGCTCTGCCTCACTGACTCCGCTCTCCACAACACCCATAGTTCATCCCATTGACTGAGGCCAGCTTTGCTATGCAGCTGCTGCTGTCCTTGGTGGTCACCTACAGTCCTGAGGCTTCCTGCAGCCTTATGCCACCAACAGTAGCACCATGTGGGAGACTTCCACACTACCGATGTCAGCCACCAGCATGACTTTCAGCTTTGCCCTCCGTGGGGCCATAGCTTCTGTGTTCGGACACACTCACAGAAGATTCACCGCAATGACACTGGTCTCTTATTAACCACAGGTCACTGGGATTCTGTGCCATTGGAGCCCAGATACCTACTGTCCTTACTCCCAGTGGAGGTGTGGGCTCACCTGGGTTTCCACCACGCTCATCATGGTTGGGGTAGCCCCTTGCTTAAAGGGCACCCTTGGAATACCCAGTGGGTCACAGTCACTTTGGATGCTTCTCAATTTTCAGTCAGTAATACAACTGTCTTCTGAAATCCTGGACAGGAGACCCCAAGATATGGGGGTAACAGGTGTCTGGGGGAATTGTTGCATTCATTCCCTGGCACGAATAAAGAATTGAACTGGGAAAGACAGAAGACCGTGCCATGGAGATTTACATTCGGGATGGGAGAAGTCTAAGGCTGGAAGTCTGTTAAATGAGCACTGGTTTGGTTGTTTGGGCATTTTATAAGGTCACTGGGTCTCCCTGCTTACCCTGTGGGTCCTCTCTAGATCCCTGCCCCCACTTCAGGAAGCTGACTTTCACATCCCTGGTCTGCCCGTGGCCCACTAACTCTCCTTTAGTGAGAAACAGGGTTACTGTGGTGACTGGACTCTACCGGAGGGCAGAAAGTTCCGGTCCCAGGCCCTGTGCACAGTCACAGGTGTGAATGCACGAGACGAGGTTGTATTGGCACTTGGTATGCCAAAGCCGCTAGCGTGGGGATGCTCATCACAGGTGCATACCCAGAGGAGAACATCACGTGGAGCTAGAGAGAGAGAGGTCGGACAGCCTGGGCCACCAGGAGCTGGCGGGTGAGGTCCTTCAGCAGGAGCGTGTCTCTCACAACTATGGTTCAGGCTTGCCAGGGAGGGTCTCATGCTACTGAGTTCTGCTGCTTTGTCAACACCTACGTGACACATCAGACTGACACATTTTAAGTTGACTGAGCCTTCAGGAAGTAAAGGCAGTTGAGTTTGACCTTTGGAGACCCGAGAGTTCTCCGATGGATGACCTGGAATAAGAGTGCACGGGAACAGCATCCACTAAGTATGCGTGACCAGGTTTTATAGCACACTGGGAGCCAGGCTGCACTGCCGCGCGGGCTCTGGACCTGGCCGCCCGGAGTCCTATTGCTCCTGGTGCCTCTCCTCCGTTTTCAGCCCCAGGCTCCCTGTGCAGAGGGACCGTGGCCTATTATGGCTGTCATGTCATCCAGGCATGTTGCCATCCTTTACATCTGCAATGTCCGATAGGAAAGCTGAACGGTGGCTTGTCTCTAATGAGACACATGAGCATTCATACTTCCGAACACTGGATCAGGGGGAGACTGAGCAAGACATGGTCGAGTCCATTGGGGAGCATTTTTCTCTAACAAAACAGGGACCAAGAAAGTCCCTCTCAACATTGGAGTACGAAGCACACAGAAATGGGAAATAAATAATTCAGTTTTCCAAATGAAAGCCTTGCTAGTGAAAATCCCAAGGCCTTCTTTGTGTTGCCAGGGAAATCAGGGTCCCTTCCTTGGGTTCTCGGTCTCATCAGTAAGACATTTAAAAGTGGCATCGGGCAGAGGCTGGAAGACAGCTTCATTAGGACTTGAGAGAAAACAACAGGGTAGACAAGCTGGACGTCTTGGCGCTGCTTGGGGCGCGGGGAGGAGAGGGAGGAGAGGAAGAGAGACCAGCACTGGGAGTCAGCAGCCATGCAGGCAGCTTCCAGGGCAGCAGGCTAGGAGAGGAGGGCAGCACCAGAGAAAGAGCGAGAACGCGCAAGGTGCCCAGGACAACAGGCTCAGGCTTCGGCCAGCAACGAAAAGAAAGAAAAGAAGAAGGAGGAAGTTACACTTTTGAACTCTGAAGAGTGGGCACACTTAGAGCTGCGCAATGGTAGTGTAAGCAGCCGCACGGAGGACGGGGTTTCTCTGAGGGGAAAGTAGATTGTCTCATTAAGGGTTCATTATCCCTCCTGTCTCTTTAACTTCCTGAGGGTCCCTTGGCCAAGTGACTAACAGGCCCGGCTGGGTGAACTTTTAATGAAGGAGTCAATAGTATGAACTGTTCTACTCATTGGAGTGGATCAGAATGTAAGGCTCCACCCAAGGCCAGCCGTAGATTCCACTCCTTTGACGGGGAGCATATCCCTTTCTTAATGGGCCTCAAGAGAGCCCTGATGACCTCAGGGGCATCTAAAACCACCGTGACATTTTCCCCCTTAAAAAGAAGGAGCTTAAAATCGCTTAGAAAATGGGCCAAAGTTGGGGGGTGCATACAAGCATGTCCACCAGGAGAGAATCGGCATCCCAGCTGGAGTTTCTGTCCCACGCAACTCATTTGGTTCCAGGCAGGGCACTCCTCTAAGAGGAGCACAGAAACCAGAGCGCCCCCTTCTGGCCTGAGAACTGAAGACGTTGCTCTGCTTAGCCAGTTCCTGTCTCAGGCCTTCATCATTTGCAGAGGGATTTCTGAGCTGAAAGTACTTTTGCCATTGGTTGTTTAAGTGGATGTCGGTGGGGGGTGATTCTAAATCCTAAAGAGTAATTCCATTCTGTGAAGGCGTTTTCAGAAATCACTGCCCTTACAAGCTGAGGACTGCTATCCCTTTGTGTGATCTTGTTATGTTACCTTGGCTGGTCTGGAACTAAACATCTCATTGCATCTGCCTCTCAAGTAGCCAAGAGTACAAGCACGTACTAACAGGGCTAGCTTATTTATTTTTTAAATAGCCCAGTAAGCCCAACAACTAAACCGTCAGATAAATCACTCAGAAGAAAGCACTTCCAAGATTAGTTCCCAGCTTTGTCTTCATGGCAGTTTATCAAAATAGTATTGCCTGTCAGTGAAATTGTAATAACAGCATGGAAATTTCAGTTTCTAAATGCTCGTATTGAAGGGCAAGCCCCAGGCCATTAGCTGCTGCAGCTGGCTAATAAGTGTACCCTTTTGAGAGTAAAATCGTAAAGAAATGTAAGGGGAGATTGCCTTCTCCAGGAGCCTGAGCAGCCATACATACTTAGCAAAGCACTGAGTGCATGAAAGATCACAACTGTCCACGAAGCATCAGACTAGATACAGACATGTGCTTGTTCATGCAAAACACTCGAGCCTGAAGATCAGCCATAGAGGAAACTTACTGAAATTTGAGAGAGAGATTAAAATATTGTAATGTTTAACCTATTTATTAAGTTCTATATCCCACCCCAGTGTGTCCTCAGGACATAGTGATGGAATTTTCACAGTAGTGATTTAGAAAAAGGAAGACAAGAAAGAATGTGTTTGTGGAATGCTGGCTATTCCCACTGCCTCTCCAGCCCCAAGGCTCAAAAACATGATCTGTGGAGTCTTGGCCAGTTGCTCAGCCCTTCAGGACATGAAGACCCGCTGCAGAGAAGCTGAGGCCTTAGGTGTGTTTGGAAGTCATACAAACAATAGCTGGAAAGCAGGTTCAAGACTGACTGGCATAAACTGTGCATGAGGGGGTGGGCAGTTAGCTTTCCTGCAGAGGTGTGTTGGGTCATGAACTCAGTCAGCAATGATAAGACCACTGGAAAGCAGGAGTCAGGCCTGATCTCGGTCATTCAGGTGACAGCATCAGTTCTAGGGATGGAAAACAAGAAAAAAATAATGACTTTTAAAAACTATCTATACATATATGCAGACGAGGTGGATTTGTGGTTTTGGTATTGTAATCAGAAAGTCTTCTTGAATCATTTAACCAGCAAATGTCCTGCCTATCTAACAGTTTTTCAAACTGTTAAACAAATATCACCTTTACGTCAGAGGCCTTCGACGTCCTAGTGGCCGGAGTTGTACATTCCGCCCGCCCCCCATCCCCCGTGTCCCCGTCCGTCGTCCCCCACCCCCCGCCCCCCCCCCCACCCGGCAGTGTGCCAGATCACACAACCAGTGTGCACTCTCTCCTTTACTGACCTGCGCTTTCCTGGTTGCTTGGCCCTTGCCCTCCTGACACCACTGTCCTCTTCAGTAGGCAGAAGAATCAATCTCTTTATCAGTGTGGGGCATCCTGCACCGGTACCCCCAGGAAGGGCCTCTCAGGGAGGAGCTATGCTGAGCGTCAGAGCCCCCAGCAGGCTTGCGTCCACGGTCACATTGTGAAGTGGGTTCCTTTTTCCCACCGGTGACTGCTCACAACCTGTGGGAAAGGCCCCCGTCACTGGGTCTCACGCTGGAGAGGTGACAGGGGACGCAGAGGCCCTGGCAAGCTTCTCGTCATCTCTCCCATTGCGTAGACGGCGTGTGACCGTGACTGTGGCAGAGGGCCCCACGGGCTATCATTTCTGCGCCAGTAGACGACAGCGAGACTCACCCAACGACAGCAGTACATCGCCGCCCCCCTCTCTGTCCATTGTCTCTGTCCATTGTCCTGTCTTTCTGCTACACTAGCAAATAATTGTTTTCCTTTGTCATCAGTAATCTGCTTTTTGTACCTTTTTTATTTATTTATTTATTTTACTGACTATTTCTAAATCCTATAAAGGAAAAAAAAAAAAGATTTTTTGGAGATGAGGTCTCAGGCACAGTCGCTCAAGCTAGCCATCCTCCGACCCAGCCTCTCAAGTGGCTGCAGCCAGAGGCATGCGGCACAATTGGCTCCTCCGTTTCTGTCCTCACTCTGCCCGTTCAGCCGTCGGCCTCCCCAGCTGGCTGCCGGGGTTGGTGCACTGGAAATTCCAGTGAAGAGCTGAATTGTGGACGTTACCAATTGTATTTTTAGGACATGTCAGCACCCTTTCCAAAAGGAAAGATGAATTACCCAGGTCACTTCTGAGACAGCACTTCAGATATGTGAAATTATTCATAAATGACAAAGTCCTTAGTGCTAAAAAAAAATAATTAAAAAAAAAAACGAACAAAAAACTTAGGGCTGACAAGGCAAGGCTCGGGCTTTTGCCACCAAACCTGAGGATCTGAGTTCAGTCCCTGGTACCTACATGGTAGAAAGAGAACCAGTCCCCAGAGAGTTGTCTTCTGATTACAGTGTGTGTGTGTGTGTGTGTGTGTGTGTGTGTGTGTGTGTGTGTGTGTGTGTGCATGCACAAAATTTTTAAATGTTTAAAAAAAAACCTAGGTATTTCTTGCATAATCAATTTCGTTACCATCTTCGAAGATGCTTAAATGACAAAATGGATTGGTTTTTAAACCCCCCTTTTTTTTTCTCATTTTAGGTGGTACCATGAGAAGTTTGAAGATTACCCCAAATCAAGGAAAATACTAATTCCCTTTGTGCTTTAGTGCTGCCAGTGGCACTGACTTTGAAGAGCTCCTTCCTGGGGACATCTCTCGGGCACTTAGACAAGAATGTTTCCCCTAATTCTCCTGCAGCTCCTTTGTTTTCAAGAAGGGCTGGAGGGGTTTGTATCCCCTGGTAAGGGAGTAAGCCAATCATGAACTCATCCGCCGTGTGCTGTCAGGTGCTCTGCTGTCTCACAGGTCAGGAATGGGGAGCACTGGGTCATTGCAGCTCAGCTGTCTTTGGCTTCAAACATGCCTCTTTGGGGTTCTGGTTTTGTTTGTTTGTGTGTTTAGATTATTTTTGTTTTGGGTTTTGTTTTGTTCTGTTGCTTTTTTCCAGACAGGGTTTCACTGTGTAGCCCTGGCTGTTCTGGAACTCGCTCTGTAAACAAGGCTGGCCTCCAACTCACAGAGATGCACCTGAGTGCTGGGATTAAAGGCTTGCACCACCACCACCCGTTGTGTGTACATTTTTGAGACAAGGTCTCACAGTGAGGACCAGGCTAGCCCTGAACTCAGAGAGTTATGTGAGGTCTCTGGCATAAAGGTGTGTTTGCCTCCAGCTCTCCATTGCCACCAAACCTGGCAGTGCCTCGGGGTTCTGTGTGGCAAAAGTGTAAGAAGAAACTACTGATTCCCACCACCTCAGACAACCAACCCTGCAAGAAATGCACCCAGGCCAGCAGGAGTCTCCCGCCTCCTCCATGGATGTTCTGCCTGTTCAGCCCGGCTAGAGAGGCCTGGCGGTGTGGGAGAGATCACAGTCTGCTGTACTTCACTGCAGCTGCTGTCCGAGGAGGGAACTTGAGCCCTACGATCCAGCGGCTGGGAACAGGTGTCTTTCACTTGTTCCCACTCAGCTCTCCAGGTGAAATGCTCCTATAAACCCGCGGTATCCCCAGGAGAGGTGGGACTGTAGAGTGTCCACTCACTCACTGGCCCTGCCTTTGCCCTCCCTTTGGGCTAGGCAGAACTAGAATTCTTTAAGACACTTTAAAAAAAATACCTTTTTTATTATTATAAGACAAAAATCTCAAAAGAATTTCTTATTTTGAATGCACCTAAAGACCAATCATGGCACATGCCTGAAATCCCAGCACTAGGGAGGCTGAAGGGGAAAGATGGTAAGCTCGGGGCTAGCCTGGACTGTGTAGGGAGACCCTGTTTGGGAAAACAAAACAAAACAAAACCTAAATAAAAACCCAGTACTAATCGGCTAACGTTCGAAAGAAGTGGCTACAGGGATAAAAGACACCGCCCACCCAGGCACCATCATGGAAGAGAGGTCTCCAGACAGGACACTAACTCCACTGTGGCTCTTTGCAGTCTGAGGGCCATTGGTGAAGAGCCATCCACCCACCACTGCCCCGGGCAATGCACTCACGTCTGCCCCCTTGTCACCATGGGAAGTGAGGGGACACTGGGCTCTCTGATCCCACTAAACGTGCTGCATTAGGACCTCCTAGCACACCTGATGTCACCCACAGTGCCCGCCGCCACCGCCGCCGCCGCCCACCTTCCCTGTCCCCACCTCCCACCTGCCTTGCCTGTGTCCTTCCAAGCTGGCCTTCCCAGCAGGCCTTCCTCAGCTCTTTTGTTCTCTTATACAAAGTATTCTCTGTGCATCTAGTTTGCAGAGTGTCTAGAATTGACACAGAAAACCTAAAGCACCGAACATTGTTCCTCTCCTCTCAAAACCTCAGATCGAGGCCTGCCTGGGGTGTTCTGGAAGGTTTGCATGGAAGGAGGTACTCAGCTGAGATCCTGGGGATGTTGGCTGTGAACTTGACCTCCGTCGGAGGGCGTGATGCTAGAATGGAACCCAGGACTCTGGGCTGCTAGGCAGATGCCCTGTCACTGAGCCACATATTACCCCTGTGATGCACCTTTGTTTATGAAGGACCAAGCTGCCCACAGGCTTGATGCTTGTTCCACCTACACGCTGAGTGAGAGATTAGAAGAAACTGTCCTAACTTTACACTCTACTTCATCTCTTAAAAAGTTAACTTACTTGTGTGAACTGTGATTTGTAGCCATAAGGTTTCTTGGGTTCCCGCCGGGCCCTCGCGGTCCCTCGGCTGCTTATAAAATAATCATTCAGAGGCTTAATATTAATTACCAATTGTATGGCCTATGGAAGGCTTCTTGCTAGCTAGCTTGTTGTAACCTAACCCATTTCTCTTAATCTATAAGTTGCCACGTGGCCATGGCATTACTGGTCTGCTGGCATCTTGCTGTTCCTTAGGCAGTGGCTGGTGTTTCTCTCTCTCCTTTCTCCCCTCTGTATACCTGCTTAGATTTCCACCCACCTCTAAGCTGTCTTGCCATAGGTCAATGCAGCTTTATTTATCAACCACTCAGAGCAACACATACTCACAGCACACAGAAAGACATCCCACAGCAGCGATTTTTAAGGAAATAAATTAATAAAACTGTAGTTTTCAGTTGTATTGTTTGTCTTGGCAGCTGGTTGGGACCATCACCTGTTTTGCATTCAGCCCTGGAAGGTCACCTCTTTCCCAGTGTTGGGTGGTCCACTAATACCCTCTTGAAGTTGCTATAACTCATAGGACCCTCTTATGGTTTTAATGAAGGTTATTTTAAATACTCAAATGAAGATCTGCCCCGGTCTGTTTTTAACTGGGATGAAATGAAGCTATGGATGTTTGTGGCTTCACCATGCCAAGCTCTGCTGCTAAATTATCTCACGAAGTCCTGCTTTTCCCGTTGCCACCCTCATGATTTCCAGTTTGGCAACATCTGAAGGCCTTGATTTTTTGTCATTGGCTGCTCATGTCAGGGAGTCATTGAAGACATTGAAGATTCTCTGGATCCCCATGCCATCTGGGCACAAATGGCTTTTGAGTATTCTTTTATTTCCTTCTGCGATTTTTGGTCTTTTCTGCCTTAGCCCACAGGCTGTTTCCTTTTCTCATGTTAAACATCATTTACTTCGTGGGCCGGCAAGATGGTTCAATGAGCAAAGGCATTTTGCTGCACAGACCTGGCCACCCGAGTTCAATACCATGTAGAGATGAAAGAAGAATCTGCTCCAACTCTGTCCTCTGGCACACCTCGCCACACACCGTGGCATGTGCATGCCAAACCCCCCCCCCAAGTAATAAGTCGAAATAATTTGCTTATTTTGAGACTTTTCAGATATACTTCATACAGAAAAGAAATGAGAAAGATTTTTCCAGCAGGTGTAGAAAAGATGGGTGATTAGAACACATTGCATTGATGCTCTAAATTATTTTGTTTAAAAAAGGAGTGCATGGTTGTTTTGCCTGCATGTGTATCTACAGCTCACGTATATGTAGTACCCATAGAGAATAGAGGGCATCGGATCACCTGGGACTGGAGTTAGAGATGTTATGAGCCACCACGTGGGCTGGGACTCAAACCCTGGTGCTTGGAGGAGCAGCCAGTGCTCCAACCACTGAGCCATCACTCCTGCTCCAATGTTTATCTTTCTTATTCTGATCTAAGCTTGTTTTGAGTTTGACTTTACCTTGCTTTTCTGACTTGGGGGTGGGTATTTTGTTCCACTCACAGCTGCTTGGGAACAAAATCTGCACTGGTTTACTTCCTTAGCTAGCTCGTGTTAAGGGTTTGAAGCTGCGTGCAGCCTATAAACAAGACCCTCTTTCCTTCATTGTAGCAATATTCCTGTGGGGCAGGAAAGTTGGGTCAGCAGAGGACCCCAGTTCAGTCTCCGGCACCCATATCAGACAGCTCATGACCACCTATAACTCCAGCTCCAGGGGAGCCAATACTATCTTCCAGCCTCCATAGACACCTGTGCATGCATGTACATGCCCCCACACACATGCGCACACACACTTAACATAAAAATCTTTACAAACAAATGTTTATATAATTATGCTAAATAATCTCTAATTTTACTTTTTAGATTATTTCTGATCCAGAGATTTTTTTAGGATAATATGTTTAGAAGGATACTTGGGGCTGGAGAGATGGCTCAGTGGTTAAGAGCACTGACTGCTATTCCAGAGGACCTCAGTTCGATTCCCAGCACCCACATGGCAGCTCACAGCTGTCTGTGACTCCAGTTTCATAGCAAAAAACCACCAATGCACATTAAATGGAAATAATTAATAAAAAAGGATACTTTTTTACTTTTCATCAATTTGGAGTGTGTTGTTTTATTTTGTTTTGAGACAAAATTGTACTATGTATCCCAAGCTTCCCTCAAACTCCATCCTCCTGCCTCCAGCCTCCCAACTGTTGAAATTATAGGTATGTGCCGCCACGCCCCACTCATTTAGATTTTTACACAAAAGGATTTTTTATCCTTTATTGCATGTGTGGATAGAGATTAGTTTCTGCATATTTTCCTTGTAGATCTTGTGTTTTCTTGATAACCTGAAGAAAGTTCACTTTTTATAACAATAACAAGACCACATCTTCAAGTGTATCCTATTTGCTTCTGTTACTGTTGTTAATTCAAACATGACTGTTTCTTTGTAACTGATTATCTCCCATGTTTAATTCTCCTTGTATTTCTGATGATCGTCTTTCTTCATGTGAGGCTGTGTCTTTGTAAACCCCACTTGAATGTGTACCTCTTACCAACTTAAAAATCCTCCTCAGTGGACTGCTTCCTGACTTAAAGTCTGCTTTGGTAAGACCATGACCACACTGTTTTCCTGGCAGACACACACATCTTATATTCATTGGCCATTTTTTAAACTTGCCTTTCAGTTTTTAACTGGTCCTCATTTTAGTCCTCTTTAACAAGTAGATTTTACAAATAATAAATTAGTTCACATTCTCTTACTAATCACCACACTGAAA